GGGGGGAGCAGGTAGGGGGCCTGGGGTGGGGCGGAGTATTCCATGGAGCCCAGGCCTCTGCACAGGCGTGCTCCCCTGTTGGTCGGGCACAGGATGATCCCATCCTGTGGTGGGCTGGGCTGTCAAAGAGCCCAGAGCGCCCCTTCCTGCCGGCGCTGTCAGGTGAAGGAAGGAGGCAGGCCATGCTCAGAGCATCCCCAGGCTCACACGGGGGAGACACGGCCTCCACCCCCAGCGAGCTCCCAGTCTGAGTGGGAAGATACAGCTTCTATCTTAGGAAGCCTCCACTCTGAGGGGAGAGACAAAGCCTCTCTCTCGGGGAGCCCGGGCCACACATGACCCTGGAGGAAATCACTCAAGAGCATCGAAGAACAGGGACAAATGAGGGTGAATTAATGGAGAGCAACCAGCCTCGCAGGGCATGGAGGGAGAACAGCAGAGTGGGCAGGCGGGGCAGGGCCCAGGGGCCTGGGAGGCTGGAGTTTCTGACTCGGTTCCTCCAGGCCCTCAGTGCCCCATCAACCTGCAGGGCAAAGGGGAGGGGGTGAGCCCCAGGTCCGAAAGGGGGCCCACCTGACCTGCTGCCCTCTCTTCCTCCCCCATAACTCCCGGGGGCCAAGGAAGGGGGAAGCGAGGGAGGGGCACAGGGGAGCAGCTGGTCCTGTTAAGCTGGAGTCTTCTAGCCTGGGAGGAAGCAAGAGTTCCCTCCCTCGCTGGAAGGCCTGGGCTCCCCTTCCCAGACCTCCTCCCCACCCGTTCCTGCTGGTTCTAGGCCCTCCCTTGCCCTCTCCTCCTGTCCTGGGTCCCATAGGGGCCCTGGGACCTCCGGGCCCTTTCTGCGGCGGGGCCCTGGGCAGCTGATGTGGCTCTGTCCAGGGGGGCGGGGTTTCCCCGGGCGGCCGAATCCCGTCTTGGGTCCACCCCAGGCACATGTTTCCTGGAAGCCAGCTACTGGGAGGTGGCTGCGTGTGCTTGTGTGGGGAAGGGAGCAGCTGGGGACCCCTGGAGTTCAGGGGGCACTGCAGGACGTCCCGCCTCCGACTCTCTTAATCGTGCTTCCTGGGAGGCCGGAGCCAGGACCGCTCCACGCCTCCCGCAAACCCCGCCCCGCCCAGAGGCGGAGGGTGGGGCCTTCTTTGGAGTCAGCCGTAAATCATTAGTGGGTGGATCTGGGCGGGGCGGCCCTGGGGCCTCAGGACAGAGGCTGAGGAAACAGAATAGAGGATGAGGATTCCACCCGAGGGCAGGTGTGGCGGGGTGAGGGTGCCTTTGGCAAGGGGTGGGGAGGCTTCAGGGCTGAGGTAAAGGGAGGGGCACCCGTGAGCTCCTTGGTGACCTATCCTGGGCAAGGTGCCTGCAGGTGAGAGGGACTATGTGTCTGTGAGGAAAGGCGCTGACAGGCCCTAGTGGCAGGGTCCAGTCTTTGGGGCCCCTGAAGGGTTTGGGGTCCTCTCCTCACCAGCCAAGCCAAGGCCCCACCCCCACATCCTGGGCCTCTCACTTTCCTGACCTCACCTGATAGGGACCCTTTCCCCTGGGGGGAGGGTAGAGATAGCCCTGTATTCCCTTCCTGGGCCCCTGTCTCCGCCCCAGTCATGGCCCAGGCTCCCTGCTCCTAAGGACGCAGCGAACACTCACAGAGCACCTGCTGCATACCTGCTGTGCCCTGGGCTCAGGGTGGGGGTGGGTACTGTCCCAGGAAGGTGACAGTTAATGCTTGGGGGGCCTGTAGGAGCCAAGGTCGACTGGGCCGGTGTGGCGAGACCTTTGTCAACATCGATACGCATCTATCGAACATCAAGTGTGTACGGGGGCCCCCGGGCCACCCTGCACCTTGCGCCTTCCATCAACCTCGTAGGGTGGGTATGGTCCTGGGGACTCTCCCCCCACACCCTATAGTCCTGCTCAAATCTGAGACAGGGTCTGTCCTAGTCAACCCGAGAGCATGCCGGCCATTCAGCAGCCTCTAGCGAGGAGATCCAGGGCCTGTGGGGTTGGGCAAGGCTGGGGCTGGCTGGGGACACTCACTGGGGGATGCTGGGAGTTGTCCCAGCCGTCTCCCTGGGGCCTCCTCCTCCTGTCCCCTGCCCCCCGTGCTGGGCCCCCGGCAGGCTGTGGGGCTGGATCGCCTCCTTTCCCTCTCCTCCTCCTTGTGGGCCGAGCTGCTGACAACCGTGAGGGCTGTGGGCCTGGTGCTGCCCCTCTGGCTGCCAGGGGTGGAGGACTGGCCTGGGCAGGAGAATTCACAGCCGAGAGGACCTTGGCATAGCCCTCTGACTGGCTCCTGCCAGGCCTTCCTCCCCTGGCAGGGGGAGTGGGCGCTGCTGGGGCCCTGCTTCAGGCCGGGCTCGGCTGCTAGCGCCCGGCTGCCCTGCCGCTCCGGCACCCTGGGCCTCAGTTTCCACGTGGCGTCGTTGGCAGGATCTGGCCAGGGCTGTCCTGAGCGGTGAGGGAGGAGTGTCCGGGCTCTTCTTAGGCCTGCCAAGGGTGGCCACACTTTCCAGAGGGCCAGGGAGGCCTTCCTGGCTCTGACCCTGTCCTTTCACCTGGGGAGAGGGGTTGAGCCGGGCCTGTCCTTCAGCAGCAGGTGAGGCCTCTCTGGGCCGAGGTGCTGGAGGGGTTTCAGAGGTGGCAGAGTCTCCAAGGCCGGAGGCGAAGGGCCCGGGGGGTCAATGGTGTGGAGCCACCGAGGCCCAGACCTTGGCACACAGCCTGACGTCTGCGGGTGGCAAATGGAAGTGATGGGGGGATGGTGGGACCTTGGTGATTTTGGAGGGAGAAAGGAAGGTTAGTAAACTCTCTGCCCCTTCAAACTGGGCCTCAAGACTAAGGTCTGAGGGCTTTGGAGGTGGAGTGCGGGCTGGGATGCAGGCTCTGAGAGAGGCAGAGGGTGAGTGGTGCCCTGTGGCCTGGGCCCCTCCCCAGGCCCCTGGCTCTGCTCCAAATTCACTTCTCTGAACTGAGTGAGGCCTGTCTGGAGGGAGATCAGTCAGCTTCTGGGGGAGGGGCTTCCTGGGAGAGTGGTTCCAGTGGGAAGGGGGAAGGTCATTCCCTGTGAAGGTGAGTGCGTGGTGCAAGGCTGGCCTCTGACCCATTCAGGTGACCCCAGGTTCTCTTGGTTCCCTTCCCCAAGACTGTCCTGGAGTAGGAGGAAGTCCTCCCTGGTGTCTGGCCTCATGCAAGAGCCCCGGTGTCCTGACCTCGCTCCCTAGCCTTGACCTTGAGCCCCCTCCATGCCCCCAGGAAACCTGAGAACCCCCAGACTTTACAGGCGGGGTGGGAGCAGGACGAAGTCAGTCAGGTTGTCCCCTCTGTCACAGTAGCTTGTGGAGCCCCCACCCTCCAAGCAAGGAGACACCCTTGCATGCGAGGGCACTCACTTTCTTTCCCCGTGTGTGGGCCGAGAGCCCAGGCCACCCATGAGTCTCCCTCCGCCCCAGCCTGGCCCAAAGGCCTCCCCGCCCCTGGAAGCTCCCCATTCAGACAGGCCCGGTGCAGACGCTGGGGTACTGGCAGCACATAAATCATTAGCACTGAAGCAATTAAGGCTGGTAATCTCCTGGCTGGGCGTGGGCAGGTGCCAGCCGCCAGGATGTGGGATTGTGCTTTGTCCTCGCAGAGGCCGCACTTCCCCAGGGCGCGTCTCCGCGGAGGGGCACCCGCTGCACGGGTCCTCCTTCTGCGCCCCGCATCTCCTCTGAGGGCCCCTTGGGAGTGTCTTCCCTCAGGTACTGCGGGGGTGTGTGTGTGTGAGGAGGAGTGGTCACCCTAACCCTCTGCTTCCTTCTCTCCCTCAGGCCCAGCTTGACTGATGTCAGCCATCTCTCCAGATTCCCTCAAAGACCCCGGGAGGCAGGAATTACCCCCATTTTGCAAATGAGGCAACAGAGGCTCTTGAACTGACTTCCTGAAAGGTTTGGATCCAAAGCTCCCTCAGGTCAGTGGCTGTGACTATTCCCCTCAGATAGGGAAGCCCCCAGGCCAGGGGCTACGTCTCCTCCCACAGACTTGGAATAATCCCAAGAGACCTGGGGGGCTCCCTCAGGTCAGAGGCTGATGCGCCCCACCCCCCCCCAGCCTGGGGGTCTCCCTCAGGGCCACATTGTACGCGGTAGGGGAGGGTGTCCCCCGCATCTCTCCACCCTCTCCCTGGGACCCAAGAATGCTGGGTGGGGGGCCAGACCAGCCCCAGGCTCTGGGCCTGTGGAGCCTCGTTCCAGGCCCTTTCTGGCTCCCAGGGCTGGGTTCTCCAGACGCCCCCCAAGAACGAGCTCAGCCACCTAATTGCGGCTGAGAACGGAGAATCACCCTACCCCGGGGTTGTGGCTCCAATACCACCTTTGTTTCTAACAGACAATGGGCTGCTAAGAAGCCATGGTGCGCAGGCCAGGCTCGGGATGCCCTCGGTGTGTCCAGCTTGAGCCCCGGGCCCTGGGCGGCTGGTACAGAGGCAAATTACATGGCTGGGGTTTGGGCTCTGACTTAAAGAGCCAGGGGCCCAGCTGCCCTTTAGCCTGGCTATAAAGGGCTATAAAGGGCTACCTGGAGCCTCTGTGCAAACCAGACCCTGCGCCTGACTTGTGGACACCATGGCCGCCCCCACCACCAGCATCCACCGGCTTTCCACTTCAGGCTCCGTCAAGGGCCTGTGTGTGCCCGGTGGTGGGGGTTTCTCTCGATGTCTTCCATCCGTGTTGGGGGTGCCTGCCGGCCCCCCAGCCTCCTGGGAGCCAGCAGCTCTGGCAACATGTCTGTGTCCTCGTCCCGCTTCTCCGTGGGCATGGGGGGCAGCTATGGCAGGGGCTGCTCCTGCAGCCTGGGTGGGGGCTTTGGCTCCAGCTTTGGGGTGGCAGACGCCCTGCTGGGGGGCAGCGAGAAGGAGACCATGCAGAACCTCAACGACCGCCTGGCCTCCTGCCTGGGCAAGGTGCGTGCTCTGGAGGAGTCTAATGCCGACCTGGAGGTGAAGATCCACGACTGGTACAAGAAGCAGGGCTCCAGACCCGCCCTCGACTACAGCCGCTACGTCAAGACCATCGAGGACCTGTGGAGCAAGGTGGGCGCTCCCTGCCCTCTGTCCTTAGTACCTGTTTCTGACTCACACCATCCCAACTTTGGACCTTTGCCAACATTTCTCCTCCAGCCTAGGTCTCTGTCCCTCACCCATTCATTCATTCACTCACTCTCTCACTTGCTCTGGAACCCAGCCCTGTACCAGTCACTGGTCCCAGGCCTGGAGGACATCCCACGTTGGGAGGCTGTTTGGAGTTCCTCCTTTTTGGGGGAGGGTATTTGGGGTGAGTGGTAGAGGAGTGGGCAGGCAAGGCTTCAGAACCTTGATTGAGGGCAGCAGATGGCATTCCAGGTATAGAGATCAGTGTGGACAAAGGCATAGGTGTGGGAACGAGTTTGGTGTGGCTGCTGGGAGATGAGGCTCAATGTCTCCTTCTCACTATCCCATTCCCCTTTGAGTTGGCCCCACCCCCCGCCTGCCTCACCTCCTCCAGGCAGTCCTCCTGGATGCACGGCACTTGCCTTTTATCCTTGGATCGATCTGGGGGTCCCTTCTGCACTTTGAGGTTCAGTCTATGCTCTGTTCATTGGGCTGATTTCACTGAGTCTGACATATTCTCACAGCTACTTTCATTGTTGGTCCTCCTCACTCCTTCCATGATGGTCGCTCTGGGGGTCCCTAAGAGCAGAGGCTGTCTCTGCTTGCAGATGCAGATTGGGGGCGTGGTCCCTGAGGAAAGGAGCTGTGTCTTCCCACTCAGACTGGAAGCTTCCAAGGGGAGATAGTTCTCTAACTTAGTCTGATGGAGGAGACAACACACACACACACACACACACACACACACACACGTTATGATCTCTGTGAACATGACCTTGGCATTCTGTAAACACGGCACCTGGGTCTTCTGCGCAGAGGTCAAAGAGGTGCAAAAGCCGGGCTCGGGGAGAGCCGGGCTGGGGGCTGGCTGGCCCAGGGTCAGCCCACTCAGTTTCCTGGTGGAGAACCAGGCCTGCTGCCCTGCGAGGGGCTTTGCCTGCTCCTGCCCGGGACCCAGGCCCGGAAGGGAACTCCTGCAATTGCCCACTGGAAGCAGAGCTACTGGGAGTGCCAGATCAGATACTGGGCTTGATCTGGGCATCAGGATACTCAGGGGAGCCCTGGTGAGTCAGTGTTCCTGAGCTTCGGGGTCAGCCAGCTCCTCACCACCATCCCCCAGTGCACTGCGCACCAGGCCTCTGAGCCACTGCCCCTCGGCGGTTTTTTTTACCACCGCCCCCTCACTGGACCCAATCAGCCTCCTAAGCAGGGAGGTGGATGGGGGCCCAGTCTGCAGGTTGCCGATGGGCCTAGTGAGGCCCTGGGGCGGGTTCAGTGAGACTGGCTCTTGGGTTCAGTCTGGAAACGGAGCCTGACTCAGGGTGCCTTTTCAGAACTTAGGGCCACGAGCGGGCTCTGAGCCCCAGGATGAGTTTACTGGGGCTGGCCCCTCTTACAGCTTTATACTTCAGCCCTTAGCCTTAAAAAATTCCGGATTCTGCTCAGCTCATCTGCCACCTCCACCGCGACCTCCTCTCTGCTTCCTCTGGGCAGTGTGGAGGGGCCTCCACCTCCCCCCAGCCCCATGGCCTTTGACTAGAGCCTCTCTTGGGTATTTCTCCCAACAATAATGACAGCAGCAGTAATAATAACTAATCCTCTGCTCCTTCCAGAGCCTCTCCCTTCCCTGTTGTCTTTTAAACCTCCCAGATGACCCTGTGGGAAAAGAAAACCTTGCCCTAGGTTTGATGTGGGGCCAGCCATAATGTTATTAATTAGTTAATTAATCGTTTAATTAAACTAATGTTTCCTGGGGGCTGGCTCTCGGCCAGGCACTGTACTCAGGGCTGGGGATTCCAAACTGAAGGAGACAGACATGAGACAGGGCCTTGTTCCTCTGGAGCTCAGAGTCCAGTGGAGGAGAGAAAAAAACACAAAAAAAAGTCACAGAAAAATATTGCACTTGGGAGAAGTACTGTGTAAGAGAGACGGGCCGAGGGGAGGTATGATGGGGAAGAAAGATCCAGACGGGGAATCAAAGAGTGCTTCCTGGAGGAGGTGGCAACTGAGCCTAGAGGTGAAATTATTTTATTTAATTTTATTTATTTATTTATTATTAATTAATTTTTTTGGCTGCATTGGGTGTTCATTGCTGTGCGCCAGCTTTCTCTAGTTGCAGCGAGCTGGGGCTACTCTTTTGTGGTGTGCGGGCTTCTCATTGTGGTGGCTTCTCTTGTTGCGGAGCACAGGCTCTAGGCGCACGGGCTTCAGTAATTGTGGCACATGGGCTCAGTAGTTGTGGCTTGCAGGCTCTAGAGCGCAGGCTCAGTAGTTGTGGCGCACGGGCTTAGTTGCTCTGCGGCATGTGGGATCTTCCTGGACCAGGGCTCGAACCCGTGTCCCTTGCATTGGCAGGCAGATTCTTAACCACTGAGCCACCGGAGAAGCCCTAGAGGTGAATTTAGTTGGGGAAAGATGGATTGAGGTCCAGGCAGCTTGGGCAGTGACCCTCATGGTGGGAGAGGGGTGCATATGGGTCTCTTTCCTGGCACCATGGTTACCTGTGCCTGGGTATCATGCCCCCACCCCTTGTGAGCCCCCCAGCAGGGTGCTCAGAGGAGGAGACCACAGGGACCCTCATCTCCCTCACTCTGGCCCACTCTCCAAAGGGCTGCAGGAGGGGTGTTGCAAGGTCTTCCTGTGGCTGCCCAGGGCGCTTGCTCACCAAGCCCACTGTGTCCCTCAGATCCTGGCGGCCACCATCGACAATGCCAACTTGGTGCTGCAGATTGATAATGCCCGCCTGGCAGCCGATGACTTCCGTACCAAGTGAGTCTGGGCCTTGGGGACAGCTCAGGGGGCTGGTGGGGGTCTGGCTCTCTGTGTGTACGAGGGTGTCCTAATGGCACTCCATGGCTCAGGCTTCCCTGCCTCCCCCGCTCCCCCGCCAAGGTATGAGATGGAGCTGAACCTGCGCGTGAGCATGGAGGCCGACATCAACGGCTTGCGCAGGGTGCTGGACAAGCTGACCCTGGCCAGAGCCGACCTAGAGATGCAGATTGAAAACCTCAAGCAGGAGCTGGCCCACCTCCAGAAGAACCACGAGGAGGTGAGGCCAGCTCGGGAATGCAGGAGAAACTTGCCTGAAAACAAGCAAGGCCGGGGCCCCCAAATCTTCCTGGGCCAGGGCCACGCTCTCCATCCAGTTCCCCTCTCTGGTGGGTTCCTGGCTCTGACCCTGGGAGACTCTCATTGGGCCCTGGTTGAGGCCTGGAGGGCCCTTTCCCCTCACAGATACTTCTGTGTCCCTCGAGGCACTGCCTACTGTGTAGTGGCAGTTAACTATCTAATGGGTGAATCAGTCTAAGAACACGCAGGCTAATTATTATAGTTAATTGTAATAGTGATAGTCATAACATCTGCCCAGCCCATTATGAGTGTTTCACAGCAATTATCTCAGCTGATACCGACAGCCTCACTGGGAGAAAGGAGCAAGTTCTTCTCTTTACGAGTGAAGAAACCGAGGCTCAGAGAGGTTAAGGAATTTGTCCAAGGCTGTACAGGGGTGGGTCTTCCCTCAGGTCTGCCTGAGGCATGTCCACACCCAACCCTGACTCCACCACTCTGCCACTACTCCCACCTCCCAGGGACCCCAAGGCTCAACCCAAGGATAGGGATCCAAGACCCTGCAGGGGGACTAATGAACCTTGTGGCTTCCTTCCCATCCGACTTCTGGGCTGGCCAGAGCTTAGGGAGCCTAATGCCCAAGTAGCAGGAGTCCAGAAAATGTCTCTACTTGGCTTTGAGGCTGGTTATAGGGATTGCATCCCCCAGCAGATTCACATTTCCTAGTGAGGTCTGACTCCCCTGATACCGACAGGGGGCTTGCTTTCCCCATGCCCGCGCTGCGTGGTTGGTGATGGGGGGTGAGGCGGGTGGTGAGGGCTGGAGTGAGGTTGTCCTGGCTCATCCCCCACCATGACCGGGAGTTGCCATCTCTCCTGGCCCAGCACACACCGGGACTGGGCAAAGTCCACCCCGCGAGTGTGTGTTGGGGGAGATTGTTGATATCCACAGCCCTGCATGTTTGAGACGTGATGACATCCACCTCCACCTTCAGGGTGAGGAGCTGTTGGCCTGTCTGTGTCTGTCTGTCCTCTGCACCCATCTCCCCCAGACAGAGAAGGCAGCCCCAGGGACTCTTCCCAGGATGGCCCTGAGTGAGCTCCTGCTTAGCTGTCTGCCCAGGAAGTGAACGCCCTGCGAGGCCAGGTGGGTGGTGAGATCAACGTGGAGACGGACGCCGTCCCCGCTGTGGACCTGGGCCGCATCCTGAACGAGATGCGCGACCAGTACGAGAAGCTTACGGAGAAGGGATGCCGAGGACTGGTTGGTTCCTCAGCAAAGGTGGGAGGCCTGGGTGAGCAGGTGTGCACACGCGTGCGTGCGCGTGCCGTGTGCTGAGCACATGTTGGAAAACTTACAGATCCACAGACTGTGGATTCCCAGCTGGAAGGACCTTTGGAAACCAGGGGACCAACCCCTCACGTTCAGGGGGACATCGTGAGGCTCAGAGAGGTCTTACGCTCACACAACCCTTCACTGTGGCCTGGGGAGCAGATCCAGGTCTCCTGATCCCACTAGGGGTTCTCCCAGCCCGGGCATTTGTAGGTAGGTGTGTGTTTGGTTGCAGACTCTCATGCCCCCAGTAAGCATGCACTGAGCAGCTGCAGTGCCCAGACAGTGACAGGCACAAAAAGAGTAAAACCCAGGGGCCTGCCCTAGAGCAGTACCTGCAGTCCAGTAAGGAAACAAATGACCACAGAGCAAGGGGAATGCTACAAGTTCCAGGATGTGCAGGTGGGCTTGGGGCCCTGCAGAGGCCGGGGAGCGGCAGGTCTAGGAGGTCAGGCCCCTGCCCCACTTCTGCAAGCCTCCGCAAGC